ACTGGGTTTTAGCTAAACCCAGGACACCCTGCCAGCCTCAGCCCTTGTAGGCAGGTGGATTCCTCGCCAAAGACCGAAGTCCTGCTTCTCTCCCCAGATGGCGATGCCAGGGCAGGAGCAGTTGCTGCTGGGCAAACCTCTTGTGCTTCCTTTGCCCCATCTCCTGATCTGTGGAGGCTGCTGCCCTTCTTTGCCAGCTCTGGGGATGCTCAGACCTCAGCTGGACAAGGCACCCAGCACCCTACTTCAAGCAGAGCTTGGCCCAGACAACCCGAGGCACCCTCTCAAAGGCCTTTGCTGTGCCATGGCAGCCAGCTCTGCAGGACACAGGGTGCATTGGGACCCTCGCCTTAGAGAGGCACAGGCAGGGAAAGCAGAGATGCGTCTTCCTGCTTGCACACCAGCAGACAGGAGGGTTTTGGGGTTAGCTGCAGGGTGATGATGCCTCCCTGGGGTGCTTGTTGGGCTTCAGCTGGATGCTGGCATCGAGAGGGAGGACGTGGTAGGTCTGGGCTCTTGCAGCCTCCCAAAGTCCTCCTGAGTGAAGGTATGGCCACGCAAAAACAGAGCAAAGGGGCTCCATCAGGGACATGACCAGCTTTTGGTGACACCAATTGCTCATGCTTCTCTAGGCAGGGGTGGCCAGGGACAGAGCCCAGCCCAGTGGGTCTGTCTGAGAAATGTCCCTGCTGCTGGCAGGGAGCAATAGCTGCTTCTGAGATGGCGTCTCCCGGGAGCTGAGGAACCCTCATCCTGGCTCTTTGGCACATGCATGATGGCACAGAGCAAGCAAATGTGTGGCCAGTCTCCAGCCCATAGGCTGGGTACGGTTTTCTAGGGCACCAGGAGGTGACAAACAGAGCTTGTGACTTCTCTGTGCTCCGGCAGGTACCTGGCAGAGTGAGGACTATGTGTGCAGACAAGAGCTATGGACATGGTGGCCTGGAGCCAGGAGCCTCTGAACACTTTTCCTGTGAGAAGGTGCATGCATCCCTGCAGAGCTGGCATGGCCTTGACTGAACTGGGGGTCTCATGCAGGCATTCCACGTTTCAGGGAGCTGCGCCCTGTGGCCACCATGCTGCTGTGCTAGTACCATTTGGGGACTGCCTCAGACAGTCCCTCGTGGTGAGTGAGTGTCAGAGTCTGGCAAGGGCACAGGCAGTACTTGTGGTGCAGGAGAGGGCTGGCTAGAGAGCAGGGACCCCAGGGTGCACCCCAAGTGCGACTGCCTTTCACTGCCCCGGAGGCTCCACTTCCTTTGTTGCCCTTTGTATTCTGAGCACAAGCGCCATTGACATGAGACTGGATCGCAGCCATGCATTCCTCTGCCTGGGCCAGGGCCTTTGTGGCCCCATTTTCCAGGGCGAAAGTCCACTCCCTCTGTGTTCCCAGTGGCAGAAAGGGCCTCTTTGTGCATCTGACAGCGTGCTCCTGCAGAGTGGATTGGCACAGCGCAGCCCCAGCTGGGCAGGAAGCGGCAGGGAGGGGGTCTAGGGGGACCCTGACAAAGTGGTGGGGTGGGACATGCAGGGTTAAGTGTCCCTGAACAGACATTAACCCTCCCTCTGCTGTCAGCCTGCAGCCTGGCTGCTAAGTGAAGCAGGTGCCATCCTGGACTGAAGGATGGTGCTGAATGAGTGGCAGCACATGCCTCTTGGCAGCTCAGGCAACATGTCCTTGGGGTGGCTAGGACAGCATGGGCTGCTCAGCAAGGCCAGGCTGTGCCACAACCATGGCCCCTCTCCTTCATGCACTGGGATAGAGGGATGGCAGGCCATTCCCTGCAATGGGATCCTTGGGGAGCATGGTAGCTGTTGGTTGCTGCCAGAAGCACTCGCTGCATGCCTAGCTGTCACCCTGTGACCCAGGGTGTCCTGTGATCCAGGATAATGAGTCCTGGAGCTGAGTCCCCTGTGTTTGACCACCTCAGGTGGGCAGTACAGTCTAGGTCAAGGCCAGGTGTGGGCTGGAGCATTGGGTCCTTGCAGGGGTCTAAGGGTGTCAATCCCTTATCTATGCTGCATCCTGCATTCAAGCGTTGAGGTGTTGGAACAGTGCTCACCCCACTGCAAGCTTCCTCTGCTCCTTGCCTGTCTTGCAGGTCTCTTCCAGAGAGCCATCATCCAGAGTGGCTCTGCGCTCTCCAGCTGGGCGGTGAACTACCAGCCTGTGAAGTACACCAGCATGCTGGCTGACAAGGTGGGCTGCAATGTGCTGGATACAGTGGACATGGTGGACTGCCTGAGGCAGAAAAGTGCCAAGGAGCTGGTGGAGCAAGACATCCAGCCCGCTCGCTACCATGTGGCCTTTGGGCCAGTCATTGATGGCGATGTGATCCCGGATGACCCAGAGATCCTGATGGAGCAGGGCGAGTTCCTCAACTATGATATCATGCTGGGAGTCAACCAGGGTGAGGGGCTGAAGTTTGTGGAGGGTGTGGTGGACCCCGAGGACGGTGTTTCGGGCAGTGACTTTGACTACGCAGTCTCCAACTTTGTAGACAACCTGTACGGCTACCCTGAGGGCAAGGACACCTTGCGGGAGACCATCAAGTTCATGTACACTGACTGGGCTGACAGGGACAATCCTGAGACTCGTCGCAAGACTCTGGTGGCCCTCTTCACTGACCACCAGTGGGTAGAGCCATCGGTAGTGACAGCTGACCTGCACGCCCGCTATGGCTCCCCCACCTACTTCTACGCCTTCTACCACCACTGCCAGAGCTTAATGAAGCCTGCATGGTCCGATGCGGCCCACGGGGATGAGGTGCCTTACGTGTTTGGGATCCCCATGATTGGCCCCTTTTTTCCTGCAATTTCTCCAAGAATGATATCATGCTCAGTGCCGTAGTGATGACCTACTGGACCAACTTTGCCAAGACAGGGTGAGTGGGGATGAGTGCTGTGCCTGGGGGTTCAACACTCAATGCAGGTGCACCCCTTCAGAGTGTGCTGGCGGGGAGGGGTGCCATACCTTGTGGGACACAGAGCTCCCCATGCCCAGAGGTCTGCATACTGCACCTTCACTCGTATCAGGGCATCAGCCACACATGGAGAAGCTGGGTGAGGCCAGCCCCTGGGACAGGACCCAGCCAAGCATAGGGGCAGGGTGGTTGGTTGGCCTTGGTTATCATGGGTCAGACTTGACTCAGGATTGGGTGCTGCCCAGCTATGCAGCATCTTTTGTCAGCCCACCCTGTGCCACCAGTGGCAAAGTTTCCCCCAGACTCCATCTCTGTGTTCCAGATCTCCCTCTTCATCTCTCCAGCTTTTCCCAGTAATAGCTCTGTTTTGCTTTTATTTTGCAGGGACCCCAACAAGCCTGTCCCCCAGGACACAAAGTTCATCCACACTAAGGCCAACCGGTTTGAGGAGGTGGCCTGGTCCAAGTACAACCCCCGCGACCAGTTGTATCTGCACATTGGGCTCAAGCCACGCGTACGTGACCACTACCGAGCCACCAAGGTGGCTTTCTGGAAGCACCTGGTCCCCCACCTGTACAACCTGCACGATATGTTCCACTACACCTCCACCACCACCAAAGTGCCGCCACCTGACACCACGCAAAACTCCCACATCACCCGCCGGCCCAATGGCAAGATCTGGACCACCAAGCGCCCTGCCATCTCACCTGCCTACAACAGTGAGAATGGGAAGGAGAAGTGGAACCCAGAGCAGGAGGCAGGCACCCTGCTTGAAAGCCCCCGTGACTACTCCACTGAGCTGAGTGTCACCATTGCTGTAGGTGCCTCCCTCCTCTTCCTCAATGTGCTGGCCTTTGCTGCCCTCTACTACCGCAAGGACAAGCGCCGGCAGGACACACACCGGCAGCCCAGCCCCCAGCGCGGTTCTGCCACCAACGACATCACCCATGCACCTGATGAGGAGATGCCCTCCATGCAGGTGAGCCAGGGGCACCATGAGTGTGAGGCTGTGCCGCCCCACGATGCCCTGCGCCTGGCTGCTCTGCCCGACTACACACTCACCTTGCGCCGCTCTCCAGATGACATCCCGCTCATGACCCCCAACACCATCACCATGATCCCCAACTCGCTGGTGGGGCTGCAGACCCTACATCCCTACAATACCTTCACCGCTGGCTTCAACAACACTGGTCTCCCGCATTCACACTCCACCACCAGAGTATAGCTGCCTGCCTCCAGCACACACGCATGCACGCACGCACACGCACGCAGTAGACACTGGCAGAGGGACCGGTGGGGCCAATGGTGCCCCCAGACAGAGGGGCAGTGCCCACAGACGGTGCAGCACCAGGCCTGAAGACCTGGATGCCCCACTCTCTCCCCCGGCGCTGTCTTTCATTTCTAACTTTTGTGAAGTGCTTTGACTCTCCCGGCTCCTGGCTGGAGAGCCCCGTGGGTCACACCGGAGCACCAGTGAGGTGCAGAGAGGGAGGACATCATGTAGGCCCACGAGCGCAGGCAGGCGAGGGGAACCTGCTGGCAGTGGCCATGGGGCTACTCACACCGGGGCTGTGCCTCCTCATGGGGAGATCACATCCCCAGCACTCCGCCCACTGAGCACCCGAGGACTGATGAGGAGCAGGGCTGGGCATCCCTCTCGGCCAGTGCATCCCCTGGTGGCTTGTCATCACAAGTTCCCTGGAAAAGGCTCTCTCACTATGTTGAGAAGTGGCCCCAGGCCATGGTGCTATAGGCAGAGAGAGTGGGCAGGGTCCAAAGGCCCAGCTTCATGCCGAGTGTGGGTGCTGGGGGAAGTGCTGGGGCTCAAGGACCCTGGAGAGTAGGGCCCTGAGCTAGAAACTTGGCACCTCTGCCCCTCCTTGTGCTGCAGAGAATCTCTTTTGTGTCAATTGTTTCTCTTTGCAGAGACATTTTTTAAAGCAGATCTTTAGTTCTTTACACACTAACGGAGTTGCCGCGTTTTGTCATTTGTAAAGATTTTAAAACCAAGTGTTCTTGATATAAAATAAAAAGCCAGTTAGAAGCCAGCGTGTGTGCGCGGTGCCGGCCCCCTGTGGCCTCTCCCTGCCACAGGCAGGCACCAGGCAGGGCACTGCCTCCTGCACTGCAAGGCCGTGCTCTTTTGTATTTTTTATATTCTCCTTCCTCTGTCACCTGTGCCCACATGTCTCAGCCAAATAGTCTACCTGATGTCCTGCCCGCGAGCAACACCTTGTGACCACCACCTGCCCAGCCCCATCAACCTAGGGCAACTCCACCCTGCCCTGCTCCCCCAGGAGTATCCCTCACCACTGCCCTGGGACCATGCTGTGCCCTCCGTGCCCATGCCACTGTCCAAAAGCAGAGGCAGCGGTTCGCACCTTGCGTCAGGGGTGATCAGTACTGTGGGGCTGGCAGGGCGAGCCATGCCGCAACTCTGTCTCCCACCGGGGCCTTTTCCCTGTCACAGGGTGACCCCAGTTTCGGTATCTGGAGTGTGCAGCAGCCATGCAGCAACTCTGTCTCCCACCGGGGCCTTTTCCCTGTCACAGGGTGACCCCAGTTTCGGTATCTGGAGTGTGCAGCTGGGATAGATGTGTGGGCAGAGGCTGCTCCAGTGAGGTCTCTGCGGGGTGATGCAGCCTGCATGGGGCTGGGAGCACCCACCTCAGGGCTAGGGTGGCCACTGAAGCACCTGCAGCTATGTGTAGTGGGGCTCAAGGCAAGGGGCTTTGGTGCAGCCAGGCATGCAGAAAGAGCTGCCTGGGAATCCACACAGGGCACTC